ATATATTATATATATATAATATATATATATATATATATATATATATATATATATATATATATATATATATATATATATATATATATATATATATATATCAAATAATTTACTAACAATTATATATAAAACATAGTATCTATTAAATACACGAGCAAATTTACTTAAGTATACAAAAAATATATCACTAGATCTTTTATATATTACTAGAAGTCTCCTCTTTTTTATTGGAAAGAGGGGTAATAGCTCTTTGTCCTTATTTACTTAATAACATTTGTTTAGATACTAGAAATAATAAGCAGTTGTTGGGTGCCAAGTAAGTTTGATGTCATCTCTATCATGCAATGACTATGCAGCCTAATCTTGTTTAAAAATGTAGAAATTTTTTAAATGATTAACACATAAAAATGTTACTTAGATGGTACAATTAAAAATAATGATTAATAATTTTACACGTAAAGCTATAATTAACAGCATTTTTAGACAATTTTTAAAAAGGAATGAGTAAGTAAAAGAAATAAAATAGTACCAAATTAATATCTTTATTATTATGTTTTACTTCATGCATAATTTAATAATATTGATATAAGTTTCATAATATTTAGAATATTTGGATAATTCGGGTTTTGATAGAAAACCCTAGCAAAAGGGGCGATTTTCGACGCAATTTTCGATGTAATGGAAGTGATTTTCGGAGAGGAAAATTTTAGTAGATTCTTAGGATTTTTACGGTTGTGATTACAACTGAGATGGTTTATACTCTTAATTTTTAAATTAGGGATCAGGTCAGAAGAATCACAACAATTATGTAGATCTCAACAGGAAGGAAAGCTGACAACTAGTGCAATCGCAAAGACTATGACTCGAACACAGGGGAAACCAAAGAAGAAGAAAAGAGGGTCGATAAACAAAATCTATGGCAGAGATAATAGCGGCAGAACCGATTGAATTTTCAGAAGAAAACATAGAGGGTTCAGAATCGAAAATGGAAGACCTAGAGAAAGAGTTTCAAAACGGGGAGATAGGGGGGAGCAGATATGGAGAAGGAAATCCTGAACTTCATAAATGCAAGCGAAGAGTGTTCCAAGGGTATCCCCACCCCCATATTGAAAATGGCACCCCATATTGAAAATGGTAGCACAAAACCTGAATGAAAACTTTAAGGAACCCAGAAATGCGAAAGATACTGGAACTCTTCGATAGTCTGTTATGTCCAAGAACCAAATCCACCTCTAACGATTTTGGAAGGTTTCATTAGGAAGAATTTGAAAAGTGAAAAGAGTTGACAATTTTTCATGATTTCTTATGGAGTGTTCATAATTAGATTCGATACGATGCAAGAAAGGGATGACATTCTAAATGAAGGCAATGTGTGTTTTGAAAAAAAACAGTAGTTATGAAACCATATAATCACATCACTGACTTCAAACGTGAAGATGTCCAGTCAATCCCAATTTGGATTAGATTGGAAGACCTTGATTTGAAATACTGGGGAGAAAAGGATTTGTACAAGATTGTGGGTGAAAATAGGAAAGCTCTTAATGACTGATAAAGCTACGAAATTCAGAGAAAAACTAAGCTTCCCAAGGGTATTGGTTGAAGCTGTAAGAATAATATTTGGTTCTATATTTGGCATTAAGTTTTGATGGTAAAAATATATGGGTGATTAGATAACAATTTAGTACTCTAATGGTTTTATCTAGTGTGTAGCTTTTGCTAGCAGGTTCTGACTCTGAAGATATATTGTGTGACGTCATAAGACTATGGACTCAAACACACTAAGTGATACAAGTGTGTGTTACAAGGTTCATAATGCTTCTAAAATAACGGTTCAGAGGAACGTTATCTTTTAAAGCTTCTGATTGTGACTCTGATGGTAGAGCTTCTGAAAGTATTCTCAAGCTCTGAAGATTTTATGCTCTCTTGGTCCAAAGGTTCTGAAGACGAGGTTCTGATTAACAAGTTCTAAAGACTCTGAAGACTAAGGTTTTGAAGATTCTGAAGACAAGGTTCTGGTGAACAAGTTATGAAGTCAGTGAAGACCAATGACTCTGAAGACTAACATTCTGAAGATTCTGAAGACAAGGCTCTGATGAACAAGTTCTGAAGACTATGAAGACAAAGGTTCTGAAGAAATATTTTGATCCTTCTATACATGCTTTAACCCATACACATTTTGAATATTATAAGATAAGGCCAAAAAGTATTTACATGAGAAATAGTAAAAGATCACTTTCTTCCACTATTCTGATTTTATGGTGCAAGGACTATACTATTGGTATAATGTAGTCTACCACTCACTGACTATTACGCAAGAAGACAACTGAAATTTTGGTATTTCTATTTTACCCTCCAACATATTTTTTTGGCTATACAAGGAAGATTTTGAAGAATTGGAAAAACAACTGAAGAACTTTGCGCATAATCATTTTGCTGAAATGCTGCTAAACTTTCCATTGAATATATTTTGTAAATTTTGTAAAATAAAGGAACATTTATTTGCTAAATTTCTAGCAATGAACTATTTTTCGTAAACTTGCTTCTAGCATTGTTGTGTTATTTCTTTGTATTTCAACTTGTGTAAATATGCTTTCCTAGAAACATCTTGTAAACACACAAACTTATATTTCAACTTTGAGTTGATAGTTCCTTGAGAGACTAGGGCTTTAGTCAAGATTCTCAAGAAGACATTGACATGTAGTCTTTGTGGTGAGAAAACGAAATTTTATAGAAATATTTCCTTTTAATAAAACAAATTAATATTTGCCTTTGTTGATTTATCAAAACAAATTTTTAGAAATATTTCATTTTAATCCAATTTATATAAATGAGGTGAGAAAACGAAAATAAACGTTACAATGATTAATTTCTCTCTCAATAAATTCAGCAGAAATTAAAAGAAAACAATGGGGATAAATAAAAATAAAAATGAGTATATTTAAAAGACTAAAAAATAATATATTTAATGTGATCTAATATGTATTTAAATTTATAAAAATATTAGTTTAATAATAATACACGTAATATTAATTTCTATTTTTCACATTATGAGATGGAGGGAATATTACGTTATAATATTTTATTGAAATAAAGTAATAAAATTTATCTTTGTAAGTTAAGAAAAATAATTTTATAAAGCATCTAAAAAAAAAAATTGATTAAAAATGACATGAGAAAAACAAGGAATGGATTTGGAAGTATACCTATAGTAACATATTAGTAGTTGCTTGAAGACTCTAAATGAAGTGAAAGCTTCCAACCTTGTACATAAACCCAAAAAATGTGTAGCAAGAAATCGCTTTGTAACCGATACTTTTCCTTAAAAAAATAGGAACAATTTGTTGCAAACGTGTTCTAGGCTCTATTTATCACGCACTTTATGATAACTCAACACACTTTCTAACACTTGATACCTAACTTTCTCTCCCTATATATACATGTTTTTCTCTAACCTTTCATTTGTACAACTCTTTCTTCTTCTTCTTCTATAAGTTTTTCTGTTCAACACTCTCTCTCTCACATAGAGAAAGTTCAAATCAAAAGAGAGAGTGAGAACAGAAAATGGGTTTTTCTAGCTTTGTCCCATGCATTTTAATGCTTGTAATTCAACTAGCTTATGCTGGTATGAATGTAACATCCAAGCTGGCTATTGTTGGTGGAATGAATCCTCTCATCCTTGTGGCGTATAGGCAGATATTTGGCACTGTTTCCATCGCTCCTTTTGCTTATTTTCTCGAACGGTAATTTTAATATTAATATTCTTATACATATACTTGCATGCATGCTCAAAAAATCAATATAATATACATTTTTATAATCATACATACAACTACATTATTAAAAAAAAAACAGAAATTTAGACACTTCAGAATGATGTAGAATTTATGTCTAATTTAATTGTTGTAAAAACAGTGCATTAGAATAGCATAACTTATTTTTTCAGTGTCTAATTTCCGTCATTATTTTCACTTTTTTAGTATAGTGATGTTTATTTTTTTTTCTTTTTTCCGTCAATATTTTAGTATGGTGATGTTTATTTTTTTCTTTTTTCCTTTTTAGTATAGTGATGTAATATTTTATTTTAAAGTTTTTTACTTTTGTAGAATGATGCATGCATCAATTATATGCATAGTGATGTTTATTTTCGTCATTATTTTAACTTTTTTGATGTAGTTCAAAATCAAGTAATGGATTTTCATTCAACAATACAAAAGTATTTTTTCAAAACTTAAATTACACAAAACAACATCAACAAATTTCTAAAATCCACAAAATTCATAAACTATTAAATGAGTTTTAAAAAAAATATCCTAAAATTTAAGGAACCAAAATGAGTAGTTAAGAAATTCATCGTCTCAAAGAAAAATCAAAAGTTCAAGTTCAGCTCAATTAAATTAACATTTCAATTATATTCATTTTTCACGTTCTTGTTGTGGTTTTTAGATTTTTGTTTCATGTATCAATATAAATTGTAATGAAATGATGAATGATTTATTGAAATTTTAAAAGAGTTTTTGTTGTGGAAAAATAATGAAATGAATATAATTTTTTTTAAAGAATGAAATGAATATGGTTGAAATGTTATTTTAATTAAGTTGAATTTTAACTTTGTTTTCTTTTTTAGACGATGAATTTCTTAATTTTAGGAACTTTGTAGATTTTAGAAATTTTGTTGATATTGTTTTGTGTGATTTTAAGTTTTAATTTTTTACGTGAGTGATGTAATTTGGCCAAAAACTGCACTTGTGTTGATGTATGATCATAAAATGTAAAGGAATATAAAAAAATGAAAAGAAAAAAAAGTACTCTATATTTCTCTCTCTTCTTAAATGTTATTACTCCATTGTTCATAAAGGTTATTAATTCTTCACATCCTTCAATAACAAGATTCAATACACAAACAAACAACATTAGTAATATTTTTCATCGACAACCTAAAATCAGAACACTGATGACATGCATGTCTGACGCGTTATGGGATTTGATTTGCCTTTACTTTACTTTTCCCGAGAAGTAAGATAATTCATGTTTACTCTTTTTCTTTTTTTTTTTAATTTATATGTAATTAGATAGTATAGACTATAGAGTATTAATATGCAAAATATGGATAGAGTTTTAGTTATGCATAATGCCAAATTTTTATTTATTATTTTGTCTAACCTATAAGAGAAACATTTTCGGGAAATTCTCTACATGTTGATTACTAGCCTACATTATCTTTATGATTTTTATTTGTATCAATACCAAAAATAAAACATTAGTAACATTTTTATAATGTTAAATTTTGTTTATGTACTATTATTTTGTCTCTTCCACAGTGATATGGTTCCAAGAATGACCAAGCGGATTATGATTCAGATTTTTTTATCTTCAGTAACAGGGTAATTTTTTTTACATATTTATCCTTTATATTAAACCTACAAATATTTTATTTTATTTTATATATTTATTTAGTAAATATTATAATGTGACTAATTTAAAAATTTGAATGCAGAGTAACAGGAAATCAGGTTCTTTATTTTCTGGGACTAAAATATTCAACAGCAACAATTGCATGTGCACTCACAAACTTACTCCCAGCTTTCACATTTGTCCTTGCAATCTTGTGCAGGTAATAATTAATTAAATTAAATTTGTATACTAAATATTTAATTAAATTGTGGTTGATGATAATAAAATTAGAAAAATAAGATAATTAATTATTTTTATTTGATGATTATAATGGTAGGCAAGAGAATTTGGCCATAAAGAAAAAAAATGGTATTGCAAAGGTGGTGGGAACAGTGTTGTGTGTGGGAGGAGCAATTCTTTTGTCATTTTACCATGGGAAAGTGATTGGTATTGGAGAATCAAGTATTCACTGGGGCTATGCTGAGAGAATTCAAAGTGGTGATGGTGGTAACTCTTCTGGTTCTAGCTCGGGCTCTCTTTTAGGCCCGGTTCTGTTGATTCTTAGTGCTCTCATTTGGTCTTCATGGTTTATCATTCAGGTAAACACATTCGTCATGTGTCTGTGTCAGTGTCTGTGTCAGTATCAGTTATTACCTAACGACACTTTTGTTGTTGCTAATTTCAGGCGGATATGAGCAAGAATTTTCCAGTGCCTTATACAAGCACAGCTTACATGTGTGTCTTGGCCAGCGTCCAGTGCGTGTTCATTGCTTTGTGTATTGATCACAAGGCTTCATCCTGGTCACTCCATGACACTATGAGACTCACATCTTCAATTTACGCGGTAAATATTTAAGAATGTGTTCTAGTTAAATTTCGACAAGATTTTGAATAACCTGAGAACTAATGTTGCATGTCTCTCATTCTTATAAATTCAGGGAGTAATTTGCACCGGGCTGACGTATTGTGTGATTTCATGGACGATAGAGAGAAAAGGGCCACTTTATGTGTCTGTATTCACTCCTCTGCAGCTTATTCTTACCGCGATTATTAGCTGGGCTTTTCTCAGTGAGAAGTTGTATCTCGGAACCGCGCTTGGATCGCTATTGATTGTTTTTGGGCTATATGGTGTGCTATGGGGTAAGAGCCAAGAAGGTGATAGCAACAAACTGGATGATGCTGCTGATCAAGATGAAGGTATCAAGAGAGATGATATGGAAATGCAATCTTATGGTAATGGCAATGGTATTGGTCACATGTGATGTGATGTTGTTACTTAGTTTATTAATATGTTTAAGGATGAGGATGGGTCATGTGATGTTATGTATGTATGTATGATGAGGATGGAATTGGAGATTTGGATATTAATTTGCGTTTCAGTTTCTTGTTTGGTTTTTTCTGTGGGGAAAATTAATGTAACATTCATGATGGTCACATTTGAAATCCTATGTTATTGTTGTGTACTTCTGTCACAATATTTGAAAGTGATTCATAACTGGTTATGTATCAACTATCAACTTTGAAGTTACTTTTAAAACTCTACTTGAGCCATTTCAGTTTATTACTAACTTTTTTCAACTATGCTAGCTTCATTTTCAATTTTCCACTTATATAATTAAAATAATTGTTTAATAGAGGTATTTAAAATGCTTATAATGATTTTTAATTGTAGATATTCAATAATATAACCAAAAGTTTTTGGGCATAGACAATCAGCATACTTATTTATCTGATCTCAATATTTAATTTAAGAGATAAAGTTTCTCAACATATTTATGTCAAACAAGAAAATATAAGTAATCATGCATATTTATGTGATTTAAATGTATTCAAATAAAATGAATAATTTATAAATAAAAAAATTCAACTTGTTTAGGACCATAATATTTGTCTTTAGTTTTTTTTGACAATAATGTTTTTGTCTTTAGTTAAAATGTGATAACAATATACTTATGTTTACAGTACCATAAGGTTTCTTAGATGCATATGCTTGTTTCTATTTTTTCTGGTCTTTGTTTCTTATAGGGCTTGTTATTTTCAGAATACTATTTGTGTTTAAGCTGTATCGTGTACTTTTTATTTTGAATAGCAATGCACCTCCCAACAACTATATATGTTGAATTTGTTTTACTACCATATCAAGTTACTTAAAATTAAAGGTACAACTGCAAAGGACACTAACCAGACAAATAGTGATGAACTTCCCCACAATCATATACATGATGAATTTGTTACACAATCGCATCAAATTACTAACAAAAGATACATTTTATTGTTAACGTCTAACTTTGTCATTATACATGTATCAAACTATTAATAGGATAAGTAATAATTTTGTGAGATAGGATCATGTGCATAAGTAATTTTGTTTTATTGTATAAATAGGCTTAGTTAAATTTTGTGCCAAGTTCCATGTATGAAGTACATAAGATTGTTTTTGAGATCGGTTTATTATAAAGTCTTTGTTGATAGACACCAAAGGAGATTTGTTCACGATTTAAGTGAGGGAGGCTAGACTCTTGGGATGGTTAGAATCTAAGTTGTAAGTGATAGTCGGGGTTTATTGTTAGACACGTCTCAAATAAAATTATTTTAAGGGACATGAATTTAAGAAGAAAAAAATAGAGTTTTATTTTTTTATAAGTAAGAAAGATTGTATTAATTTGAGTATAAGGGATATTCAACTCATAAATAAAGATAACAAGGATAACAAGGAAAATAAGAAAAGAATTAACAAGATATAAAAAATTAAGAAAAATAAATTCGAAGATTTAATAGTCAATCTTTCAGTCAAAGTTTATGGTCCATTGAATCTCGCTTCAAACTAATCTCACGATAAATTATTAGTTAATGTCACGATTTTAAACATGTTGGAGCACAAGGAAGATAAAAGGTAAAAGAAATATTTACTGATAGCTTCAAAAATAAGGATTTTACAATGAATTACAATAACCTACTCCACTAGGCTATTTATACACACATATTAAATCTAAAATATATCTTCTACAAAGATATAAGAAGATCTAAGATATATATCTTCTAACAAAGATATAAACAATCTAAAAGATATTCTTAAATATAAACTAATATCTAATTAAATCTAAATTGATCAGTTTTGATAGTCTTTGTCAGAACATCTGTCAACTACTTCTGAGTGCTACAGTGCACAACCTCTATTATTCTATTATGAACTTGATTCCTTAGAAAATGATACTTGGTCGCAATATGCTTGCTTCTCCCATGCAACACTGGATTCTTGGCAAGATTGATTGCAGACTTGTTATCAATCATCAACTTCAGAGGTTTATTCACCTCAATCTTCAGATCTTTCAGCAAGTTCAGAATCCACACAACTTGACATGCAGTCAGAGCACCTGTAATATATTCAGCTTCGCAGGTTGACAGAGCAACAACAGGTTGCTTCTTGGAACACCAAGAAATAGGACCTCCCAAAAATTTGAATAAGTACCCAAAAGTACTTCTTCTGTCAACTCTATCTCTGCACCAATCAGAATCAGAATAACTCAGAAGTTCTGATTCGATCTTTCTTCCAAATGGAAATAATACTCCATATTTCAGAGTTCCCTTCACATACCTCAGAATCCTGACTGCAGCTTGGTAATGAGACCACTTTGGTTTGCTCATAAATCTGCTAACCATTCCAACTGCATAGTAAATATCAGGTCTGGTATTACACAAATACCTTAGAGAACCAACCATCTGTTTGAAGGTTGTAGCATTCACATCCTCTCCATCAGAATCAGAATCCAACTTCTGATTCGTATCAGCAGGTGTGATAGCAACCTTGCAATTTTCTAGCTCAAATCTCTTCAGAAGCTCTAGTTCATACTTCATCTGATATAAAATGATTCATTTCTCAGAGTACATAAATTTCATCCCTAGAAAGAAACTCATCTTTCCAAGATCTGTCATCTCAAATGCATTTATCAGAACTTTCTTGAACTCAGCTATCTCTTATTCAGAACTTCCTGTGAGTAATATGTCATCAACATACAAACAGACCAGAATCATATTACCTTCTAAAGTATGCTGAACATAAACACCATACTCCATCTCACACTTCTGAAACCCTTGTTCCTTGAAAAACGAATCAATCTTCAAGTTCCAAGCTTTGGGCGCTTGCTTCAATCCATACAATGCTTTGTGTAATTTGAACACCATCCTTTCCTGATTCTTTTTCTCAAATCCAGGAGGTTGTGAAACGTACACCTCTTCTTGTAATGGACCATTCAGAAATGCAGATTTTACATCTAAATGCATCAGAGGCCAATTCTTGTTAGCAGCTATTGCAATCACTAGTCTGATTGTTTCATGTCTCGCTATAGGTGCAAACACTTCAAAGTAATCCAGCCCAGGCTTCTGTAGAAAGCCTCTTGCTACTAGTCTCACTTTGTGTTTTCCAATTGATCCATCTGGCTTTAGCTTCTGCTTGAAAACCCATCTGGCGCTGATGGCTTTCTTTCCTTTTGGAAGTTCTGTCAGCTTCCAAGTCCTGTTTCTCTCTATAGCATCAAGTTCTTCTTTCATGGCCTGTAACCAAACTTTGTGCTTAAGAGCCTCTTTCATACTCACGGGTTCAGAGTCTAATAACATTGCACACTGAATAACTTCTCCTTCAGAGTTTACTTCAGTGTCTAGCAACATATCAAACTCTATAAATCTTCCTGGGATGCTTCTGACTCTTTGTTGCCTCTGAACTGGACCTTCAGAACTTTGGACACCAGAACTTTCCCCTTCAAAAGCACTTGCTTCAGAAATTGAACTTTCTCCAGAACCTTGACTGTCTTCAGAGTCTAGATCACCATCGGAGTCAGAGTCAGAATCATCTTCTCCTTCTGTATATTCTTCAGAGTCAGAGTCTTTACTAGCTTCAGAAACATGTATTTCTGATCTTTCTTCAGAAGTTCTGTCATCACAGTCAAGACGAGACTTTTCCCAATTCCAAACTTCTGATTCCTCTACAATGACGTCTCTGCTGAACTCGACTTTGTTAGTTTTTGGACAATAAATTTTGTACGAACCTGTACTGTGATACCCCACCAGCAACATCACTTTACTTCTATCATCCAGCTTCTGTCTTCTGGCTTCTGGGACATGTTTGTAACATACAAAACCAAATACCTTCAGATGACTAACACTTTGCTTATCTCTAATCCACTTCTTAATAGGAACTATTTCCTTTAATTTCTTTGTTGGACATCTGTTGAGCACATAACATGCAGTTGCAACAGCTTCTCCCCACAGAGTATGAGGAAGCTTCTTCTCTTTCAGCATGCTTCTCACCATATCTAGCAAAGTACGATTTCTTCTTTCAGCAAGACCATTATGTTGAGGAGTATATGAAGCAGTAACCTCATGCTCAATTCCATTCTACTCACATAAACTTCTGAATTCTGTGGAGTTATACTCACCACCACTATCAGTTCTAAGAATTTTCAGAGTCTGGTCACTCTGATTCTCAGCCTTCATTCTGAACCTTTTTAATTCAGCAAACACCTCGTGTTTGAACTTTATGAGAGATACCCATGTCAGTCTAGTGAACTCATCAACGAATGACACAAAATATTTATTCCCTCCAGTCGATGCTACTGGAAACGGACCGCACACATCAGAATGTACTACTCCCAATGCATGTTTTGCTCTTGGAGCTACTTCTGATGCAAAGGGTAATCTTGGTTGCTTCCCTTCCATGCACACCTTGCATGAATTTTCAGGCTTCTTGATTGTAGGAATTCCATGTACCAGATTCTTTGATTTCAGATGCCTTAAACTTCTGAAATTCAGATGACCAAATCTTTTGTGCAACAACTCACTCTCCTTGACAACACTTGTTGCACTAAGACATTCAAAGTCTGCAGTTCTAACATTCACCTTGAATGTTCTGTTCCTTCCCTGTTCTGACTCCATAATCAGCTTCTGATTACAGTCGTACAACTTCAGAAGATTGTCCTTCATGGTAATTGAAAAACCTTTCTCAACCAGTTGTCCCACACTCATCAGATTGCTTTTCATGCCAGGTACATACCAAACATTCTGGATCACAGCTTCTTTCCCATTGTTTAGAATGATTCTGACATTTCCCATACCTTCTGCATTTGAGGTATTTGTCATCAGCACATCTGATCTTTGTACTCTTCCCAGAGTCAAAGTCAACCAACCACTTCTTGTTTCCAGTAAGATGGTTTGAACACCCTGTGTCCATATACCACCATTATGATGAATTCAGATAATCAGGTTCAGA